TTTAATTTGGAAATGAGCAAGATGTCTCTTAGTTATAATGAGGTACATTTGGAAAGCTATTTGTGATCTATTCATAGAACTATGGTCTTATATTTGTTCTGACCAGAATAACTATTTGCAATCATACTAAAAACTTGCAAAACTATTGAATATTATACAGAGTGAAAATAGTTTTCTTTACAAATACATTGTAAGATTAAAGAATCAAAGTTGGGGGCATACTTCCAATGGTGAAATATTCAAGTTTGTTTCATTCTTTTTCTGTGTCAAAGAATTTAGGGGTTTCTTTTTATTTTAAATGTAAAGAATAGATAAATAACACATTATATAGCAGTGAAATTAGTGAATTTTCTACAGAGAACTTGAAACAGAAACTTGGATTTTCTGGGGCATACAACATATCTTCAGGTCAGTGATATGTGCAGTTTGATAACAGTGAAGGGCCTGTTTCTACTAAGCACAGAGATTTGTTGATTGATTGCTTTCTATAAATCAGAGCAGTTAAATACTGATGGAACAGGTTAGGGCTGTTGTCCACCTTGCCTATGGGGTTTTAATAGATCGAGGGAGAAATTGCTGTGCTCCCAGGTTGGGAAACCTGTCTGGGGGTTGGGAACATCTAGGTAATCGCCATTTCCCTGAGAAGCACATGGTGAGAGAGGGTTTTGTCAGTGATGATTTTTCATAGGGATACGTGTTGTGACCTACAGGGATGAAGGCTGGTCTTGCAGGGCACAAGGGCTGCAATGCAGCCTCTGTGGGCTGTGCTGTGCAGCTTTTAACCTGCTTCTGCTCACACGTGTGGGCAGGTGGGAGTGCACTCTCCTCAGCCAAGCTGCTCCTACAGCTTGCGGGGAGACCTGTGTCTCCCAAAAGTGCAATGCCACTGCTCCTCTGTGCATAGCTGCTGGTGGCCAGTGAGTCTCAACCTTTAGCCTGCAGCCTTGTGCTTTGTTTCCTTTGTTTATTGAAAGGCACAGTCTGCAGCAAGGGAAAGACGGGATGACAGCTGTCATGCTGGGCCAGGATTACATTGTGTGCATTCTCCTGTGGAGGGGAGAAACCCAGATATTGCAGAAGCTGTGATTGCTGTCAGTGTTTTAAGATGATTTGATGTTTTTAATAATCTCATCTGAAGACCAAAAGGCAAGGGATGACTTCTGATATTATACATGTCTTAAATAATGAAACATAGTAAAAAGACATTCCCATTTTGGAAGCCAACTCAAGGGTAGACAGTGCTTTAAATGCACTCGTTTGTGAAACTTACATTACATTGAGATATTTTAGTGTGTATTTGTGTGACGCTTCAGTGTTAGAAGGGAAATCTGCTTTCCTCTGTCAGTGCCCTGACATCGTAGGATGATGAGGAGAAAGTGGGTCAGTGCACTGTGTCACTGCCAGTTCTGCCATGGCTGCTCTTTGGGCCCTGCCTGGGTTACCATGAATGTACACAGTGTGCCCTACAGGACTTTGATGTTTAAGAGGAGCTGCATGAAGTGAAGGCATGGCACAGGCAGGGCTTTTCTCTTCTAAAAACTGACCTAAGTTCCAACAAATCCAGGCACCTCAAAGTTATCCCTATGGTGCAAAAGTCTATAAGCTACTGTTTTCCCTGGTAAAGGTGTAACGAAAGCTTCCAGGCACAGATGGTTGCAATATAAACTGAAAGGAGAGGGTGGAAGGAAGAAAAAAACCCTAATGCAGTTAAGCACCTCCCCTCACCTCCCTCCAAATCTCAGAAATAGAGGAGTAGATATTATGAAGCAGGTTTAGTTTCTAGCAGCTTGATCTTTGCCTTTGTGTGCAGCTGGCTTTGTGTGCATTGATGTCCTGTTGGTAATTATCATTCTGTTGACACCTGTATTCACGATGACACCCCTATATCACATTTTCATCACAGCGTGAAATGTTGCTCTTTTTGCTTTTGTTTTGTTTAGTACTATGAGTTTAGCCCAGAGTTGAAAAAAATAGACACTTCTCACAACACACAACGGGACATTGATAACCTTGCAGCTTAGTTACTGATCCTATCTCAGTGCTTCCATCTCTCTCCTTCCTCCCACCCCTCTTTTCAAGCAGACAAGGTTTTCCCTCAACAAGCTGATGACAGAATAATTTCTCCAGGTTGATTGTTTGCCCCACATGGTCTCTGGAGGTCTTCATACAAGTGGAGAGAAGCAGATCAAAAGCCTGCAAGAAAAAAAGAGGCAAAGGATTGCAAAAAGCCACCATAAAGATCCTACTCAGGTTTCAGTCTGATGATGAACAGGCTTGTAAAGTATTCTGAGACCTGTCAAATTTTCCCATCTGAAATCCAGGCCTATTTTAAAAGGAATTTTCATAATGAGTGTCTCTTTTCCCCCATCCACAGGCTCGGAGTATTTTCTGAAAAAGTTCTGCAGGGCAGAGGAGTTGAACACTTGATCACATGCAGGAGCACGGGATAGATGGAGTACAGCTGACTCAACAGCTACAGGGGATTTGGGTAAGTGCCCACCATGTCAGCCAAATAGAACTTACTAAAATATTGGTGAATGTCGAAGTATTCATTACTTCTAAAAGAAAATTCTTACTTTATCACCTGTCAGGCAAATTTAACCTCAAAAGGAAATCTCAGTGATAGTTTGTTGGGGAAGAAGTACGCAGGGAATGGCTGATGAAAGCATGATGGTAAATAAGCATCCAGCTGTGACTGACTTTTGCAACTTAGCTTTTACCTGAAAGTACTCAGGCCAGACTTGTGCTATTAATGGGAGGGAAGGAAGATTACAAACCCCCTGCAATGCTGAGGCTGTCAATGTATGTTAAGCCCACTTAGGTTGCTTTCAGGAGGGAAACAATCAATTGCTTGAAGGAGACAATGTTAACCAACTTGCGGTATCCGCCTGTTCCCACAATCATTGCATTGAGGGAAGGAAATTTTGATAACGAGACTTCTTATCTGGCTCCACTGCAATTGAATGACATGGGGTCGCTGATTGGAAATTACATCGTGTCCGGTCACAAAGCTGACTGGACGTGATAATTACACCACCTTTGTTTATTTTTAAAGTAATAATAATGGCAACATATTCTTGAATGAAGACTGTGGGGATTTGAAATCAAGTCTTCAGTTAAGCTGGTGAACTGATACAGTCTAAATTGACATAGTTACTATAATTGCTTTGGGTACTGTGGGGGAAAACTTTAAGAGCTGCAGAAGATAGGAGTGTTGGCCCTGCTTGCATGTTCTTGATCAAAGAATGTTTTTACAAATGCATGATGTTTTGTTTTCTTTCAGCTAGCTCTTAAGCGGTACCACTCAGGCTTGTTTAAGAGGTTGGCTAAAAAACTACTTGAAACCTTGGTTTGAGTCCCAAATGGCTATGAGAGGGACTCGAAACATGGTGAAAGAAATATCCATAAGTGAATCTTTTCTATTTCACAATAGAAATAGTTTTTCTTTTTAAATATAAATCTGGGAAGAGTGTAAGTGCTCTTTCATTTCACAGTTTATGAAATCTGTGGTATTACATGCTTTCTTTGACCAAGATATTAGCAGCATTATTTACTGAAAATTCATTTAACTTCTAGGCATTAGATAAAGCTGTACTGTACTGCAGCATTATTCTACAACTTTGCTGCTTAATTGCTGTTTCTAAAAGTAAGGAAATTGAAGTAATCATGATGGCATAAACTGTTGCTGCTTTTTGTCAGGGAAGTCTTATTTTACTTGTAACTTTTCAATCTGCTAACAGATGGCTGCAGTATAATCTACTTGCTACTGACATCAAGAATTATTTTACTGAAGATTTATATTTATATTGCTCTCTTCAAAAGCATAAAAAGAGTAATTAAGTAGAATGATACTCATTTAGACCTTTATCTGCCTGTGTGACTGCAGGGCTCTGCGGTCAGGCAATAGGATTAAGAGCATCTCATCACTAGATCAGCATGTTTGAATCCAGACCATGGTTAGAGGCAACTGAAGGCCAGTAGCATGGGATGACACTACAGGGGCCTATATAAAATGATTTGATAGTTTCTGTAAATTTGCTAGCTGATGAAACACCCATAATGATCATTGGTCTGAGAAGGAAATCTGTAGACTGAATGTGTATGTGCTGAGAACGTATTTAAGCTCAGTAACAGTCTCTTCGTTCCAGGTTTTGGGGACACTCTCTGTACACTCCCCATGCAGGTGACATGACACAATTGTTGCTTTTCTGTTTCCGTCCAAGATGAGCCTGGACTTCTTTGAGTCTCATTGATTTTCAAATTGCAGTGTCTCCACTAAAAGTGAAAGAGAAACACAGTGCAAACAAGCCGCAATAGAACAAAATAAGCCCAGTTTTTTATTAGTATTGGATTAATTAGACAATATCTTAAGCATTGCAGTTGTGTTCGTTACAGATACTTCTCTATCTAGTGTGTGAGTGCAGCACAGCTTGTGGTTAGTTGGCGGCTTTTGTTTTGTAATCACATTGTTTGTAGTATTTTGTAGCTGAAGTGAGAAGTGAAAAATCCAAAAAGATTTTTATGTTAGTTTTATGATGTGAGTCAGAAATGCAGTGACCTCAATGAAGAATCTGTCAATGTTTTCAGTTGGTTTATATTTTTGGCATTTCAGTTGAATCCATTGAAGTCGTACTAAAGAATTTAACAGCTAAACCACAAGATTGAAGAAATGCAGAGAACAAAAATCAAATTATGTGGATGTTAATGATGAAAAGGAGGTCTTATTTTGTCAAGAACATCCACATATAGGCTACAATGATTTTTCTCAGACTGTTCACTACAATAGTCTCTAAATCTTATGCAGAATTTCCTTTCTTTTTTCTCAGGTCCCTTGCTGATGTCAAAGTTTTTCTGATGCAGTAGACAGTATGAAGAGTGTGAAAGTGAGAGGATAATTTGTTCAAAGTTCTTTAATTCAAGTCTGAAGCTTTGACCATAAATCACTTCCTTCAGACCTGTTTTCCTCTCAGATCTGCTTTCACTGACAACTTACTGCGCTTCGTATCTGCATGAGTGTCCTGTGGGAAAGGTGGTTAATTGATGCAGGTTGGAAGAACAGAATAGAGATCACTCTCTTTTCTGGGAGGTTCAGGAGGTGTCCTTCTGTGCATTTTTATATGTGGAACTTAAAGCTAATTTGTGTTTTCACACTTTATTGAGGTATCTGTGAAACATGAAGTTAGGAACATAATTTCAAACAGAGTTAAATTCTTATCTTATCTATCAGGTATGTATTCCAGTACCTTTATTGTATGATACGATTGGCATGATTTGGAAAGCACTAGCATTTCCTTAAATCATTAAAATAATTACCTGGAAGAGAGATATAAATACACTATTGAAGTCACCTTTCTGGGACTGCAAAGCAAATATTCAGACAATATGTAAAATTCAACTATTCCATCACTAAGCATAGCTATGGTAAAAATAATATGGAACAGTGTAAGGGGAAAGCAGCACAGCTGAACAATGTTAGTATTTCACTAGTGGATGCAGAAAAAGCTAGAATAACTGATATTTAGCACAGAATAGCAGGTAAACAGTCTACTCCATAACCTCGGCAGTCTGAAGTGAATGAGTTAGATCTAGTAAGTCAGGATCTCTGGCTTGTTCAACAAAGGGTTGTTTAGATTTATATATACTTTAATAACTTTATTTCCCCAATAGTCTGTCTCCTTGAAAGAAGATATTAGCTGCTTTGTATAAATTTCTTAGAAATATTTCATATGGTCTTATTCTCCACTTGATCACTCTTTCTCTTCTTACATTATAAATATGCAGTTAACTTAGTTTCTTTTCAGACTAGATTAATAAAACCTCAGTGCATCCAAGGATTTGTTGTAAAAATGAAGACAGACATGTATACTAAGGTACAATGTGTAAATTTTCTAATGAATATTTTGAAGCATTAAAATGTAATTTTTTTAACAGCTTATTGGCAGTATGGTACACCAATTAATTTCCCTAGTCATTAGGCAGGTGAAAAAACAGTCTCAGCTGGAGTTTTGCCTATCTGAGGGTATGAGATGAAGCTCCAGACGGACCTAGTGCACATCTCTCTAAGCACACCTGATTCTATAGATTCAAGAGCACTGCATGGCTGTAAGACTTCTATTATTTACCCAACATACACATTTATTTCTCACTACCAGTAATAAGATTGACAAAACATACTGTCTTTTGAAAGAAGATCTAAGTTTTCAGCAGAGTTTAGAGTTATTGTTTCATTTCAATTCATAAGCACACTATGGATTGCTTCCATATAAATTTTTTATGGTCTTGAATATCAGTTCCCCATGCAGTGTGCTGGTCAAAGGTTTGAAGTCTTTCACATAAAAGTCTAATGATTTTGGTATGGCTTCCTTTTGTGGAAAATTAACAACTTTCTCAGACCCTTTGGCTTTTTTATTCTGTGAAAGAGATTATTCTAAAAAGATTGGAAAATAAACCAGAATTCTTTTAACTTAAACTAGGATTTTTTTAAACCTTAGAACCAAAGCAAAAGGTTTGTGTATTGTTTTTTGAAAACTGCAAAATTTATTCCCCAGTCTCATTTTCTTTGGACACTGTGGGCACCTGCTTGATTCACAAGCATTTGAGACTTAGATTTTGAGACTTCAGCTATCATTTAGAATTTTTCAGGTAAAGCTGCTGCTTGGTTCTGGTAGAATTTTGATTACGGACAGGCTCCATGCTTTGACACAACATTTAATTACAAATCTGGCATAGCATGAAGCTAATCCAGGATTCTTGTTTTTAAATATCAAAAATTGAGGGGAAATATATGACTAGCAAATAAGCACAGGTCATTCTAGGGCCAAATAATTGATGCTGATGGCAATTCAATGTCTGACCACCTGTGTACATGTAAAGCACGGTCTTTCTTGTGTAGTCTGCAACTGCTCTTTGTGTTCTGAATAGCTATAAGAAAGAAATTATTTACATATTTAAAGCTAGTTTCCTATTTTGTGGTGGGGAAAAAAAATCTGGTCTCTTTGTATATTCTGACGCGCATTGATTTCTGATTTCTTAGTTTTATTATTTCCTCATATGTGTCAAATTATTACATTTGTTGTATTTCTGTGCTGTAATCCCTCAAATACTGTAATTTTGGGAACATACAGTCTGCTCACAGGTCTGGCTCCATCATCAGCTTTAGTCCTCTGTTTGGGAAACTGCTGAACTTCAAGATACATATGTGTGCCTCTGTGTGTATATATCTGTCGTATATATGTGTGTGTGCATGTCTGAGTATATTTATTTTTTCAGCTTTTCAGGTTTTGCTAGGTGTCAGAAATGAATGGAATGGCACTATGGAGCCTGAAATCACAGAAATCTGCAAAAAAAGATATGCTGTGTTTCAAGCAGAAGGAAATGTTGTAGTTGAAATGTGTCTTAAATGTGTCTTAAATCTCAGATGCCCTTTTTTTTTCTGTAACAAGCCTTTTGAAAAAAGGCAATTATCACTTTTTGGTAGCCTTATCTTCAAAACAGTTACTGTAAAGATCCAAGTCCTGTTTTATCTGCATCAGAAGATCCAAGGAGATAATGTGGGAGGCAATAGTGAAAACAATCTGGATAATTCATTGCAATGGAATGTACAAGTTAAAAGAGAAAGTTCCACTGAAGAGGTAGAGAGATATTCTTCCGGGTTTTTTTTTTCACTGGATCACTTTTAAGTGATGGCAAATGATCTAGTATGTGTTTAGGGGCAAAGTGGTTCTGGAAGACTTGACCGCGGTTCAGTTAATGCACTTCACAACTACAGTTAATGCACTCACAACTTGAGTGCACATGCAAAAGCAAGTGTGGCAGCAAGATGAATGTAACCAAAAAGATGAGGAACTGTTTTGTCATGAGATGACTGAGAAGTACTTGCTGAACTATGTAATGATAATTTGAAATTATTTTTATGAGTAGAAGTAATGCTTCTATTCCATTACTTGTAGACACCTAATGTGTATCATTAGACAACATTTAGGCAGTTACTAGATATGTGTAAAAACACTTATAAATGTTCCACCAGCTTTATTATGTGCTTATCACATATACAATTTTCTTTGAGAAGTTTTTGTTATTACTATTAACTGTTTTTATGAAAGACTTATCCAGTCAGAAGGCACAAAGATCACCATATTATTCTGCAGAACTGCCACACCCTGTGAATGAGAAATCAAGAATAAGCAGGGTATTACAGGAAGTTCTCATAAAGTACATGATAAATATTTGAAATAAGTAATATACTCAGAAGTCAGAACTGGCTCACAAATGAATTTCATTAAAAGTGTAGGGCTGAATCAGTGAATGGTGTAGACAATGGAAAATTTTTGAAGAGCTTTTTAGAGAGGATGGGAAAAAAGAGAAATGAATATGAGGTCATGAGAGAGGAAAGAAGAGGAAATTTAGATAGGTCAAACCATGGCATCTCTGTGGAATTAAATTCCCAAACTGACTGCTAAAACCTGTCTTGTTTAAATCATAAACATCTTTACTTGGAAATTCTGTGCAGGTTTTCTGACATGGTGAAGTTCATCAAAGCAGGGATAAGGCCTTTGTAAAGTGATAACAATTAGATTGAGGACTGCATGTCGCAACTCTGACCTCTCTGTACTCTTCAGAGATATGTAGCACAGAATCTGATTCTTGGCACATCAGTGAAACCTGATATGGGTTTGCCAGTTGAGAGTTTATATAGAGATGGTCACATTTCCCTTGCTGTATGTGTTGGCATCTTTGCAATCATGGAAGTTTCCTTAACAGCCAAGGACGTTTGCTACTGGATCAAAGAAGACCGTTTTTGGAAAGCGCCAAGAGCAGTATTCCTTGAAAAAGGCTTAAAGAATTACATACCAAGTTGAAGAAAAAAGGGCAAATATCTTCCACATGAATTTGACTCCTAGATTATAAATCACCCCATTCCTAGGACTTGCATATTATCTTTACTTTTTTTGTAAATGGAATTTAAATTTCATGCTCATAAGCAGGCAATAAGGTTATGATGTTCCCGTTACTATTTTGATAAAACTTTTATGCTTCTTTCATTGGATGAAATGTTCAGCAGTATGAATATGGTACAAATCTTTCGGTTAGGATGCCTTATAAATTTGGGAGACTGAAGTTTACAAATTTCTGTTGAGAAATAACTTGCCAGAGGCCTTTAAGACCATGCTGGAAAAGCAGGAATGGCTCCTTTGATTCTTGCTGGGGTGGGTAGACAGGTGATGTTGGCTTTTCAGGGTGCTTTCTAGCCCTGCAGTTCTCTTGAGAAATGAAAAATAATGCCTGTTCCTAACTTATTTAATCAAAATCAGCAGGATTCAGCTCAGCTGGTGATGTGGATCTGCATGTTGATCCATTTACAGATAAGTCAATAGCCAGAAAGCAAGTAGGACACTATTGGTTGTGTTAAAATCTGAATTGTTCTGAATACAGCTAGAGAAATAATGCTATAAATACTTAATGTCTTAATTCAGATTTGTTCCTTAGCAATCATCTCTTCTTTCTCCAAAATGCAGCAACATAAGTTATGTTTAATAATTAAAATTTTAGAATTTATTGTGAAGTTCTGCTTTTCATCTAAAATAAAAGCTACAGCTTTGTCAGTGGCATCTTTTATTAAATTCTTTTCAAACAACTTTTCTTTTGCTAGCAAAAAACCCACTGTGAATGTTAGAAAATTGAAGTCAGATTGAGATCTTGGTAAATTGCCCTTAATATATACCATTGTAATGGACATAAGAAACCAGACCGTATACAAAGAACAGTAATTGCCACTTTATTGATGTAACCACTGTTCAAGCCAAGGAAAGGCTCCAGGACATTGGAGCAATGCCAATTTTCTGCAGTATAAAATGTTTCTTTCAAAATAAAATATGAATTTTCATAGTAAACAAACATAAAAACCACTACTTTGCTTCTCCATCTGAGAGAAATAGAGGGGGTGAGAAGATCATGAAAATACATAGGTTTCATAACAACCCAGTTAGAAATTTTATTTTCTTTCTCATGATTTCACAGTTCTTCATCAGCATTAGCTTCAAGTGCTGCCAACCTCCACAGGAGTCTAATGGAAAAAGAGTAAAGGGTCAAAAAGTGCTTTTGCTTAGAGTTTCGTATCCACCTGAAACTAAAAGGAGGTTGGATTCTTGCTGTAAGTCACACTTTAAGGAAGTTGTGCAGAATTTGGTGGGAAAACTGCTTTTGGATGTGATAGACAGCAAAAGTCATACCTGACTTACGAAACATGCATGCTTAGCTGGAAGATGGTGTTTTCAATTCTGAATTTTTATTCCATGTACTTCTAAGCAGACTTACACAGGAATCAGTGTCTGTACATTTGGACATACCTTTGACTTTTTAGAAGAATTTGGCTCAGTTGTGGTCGATATGTTAATTGGCAAATCACTTTGGGAGTGTCCTCTAAGGATCTTTCTTTCAACACAAAGCATTAAATCTTTGGTTTGTGTACTCTGTAAACATGGTTTGAAAACTGGTGAAAGCCTTTCTGTTATTGAGCAGACTGTAGCTCAGACTGCTGTGTAGCCACGAAAGATTCAGTTAAGAGTGAGGATTTGTCTCAAATGTTCTCTCCATGTGCAGTTGCCAGCTCTTCTCAGCAGTGCATGACAGCCCCTTGCCATGCCAGATACAGATGCATTTAGGGGTGCTTCATCTCTGGAGTTTGCAAATGTTCTTTATGCACTTGGAGAAAGGTGATGATCAACCTATCTGTATCTGCAGTCTTGGAGATAGCAAACCTGACTCTTAGAATGGCTCAGTTCCTGTCTAGGCAAATGGAGACCATTGCCACATACGGGGGCTATGTAAGCAGATCAGATGTATTCTCTAGAATGACAAAATCTTATAAAATAATAATAATAAAAGTCAATGCACTTGGATTCATGGACAAAAATCTCAATATTTTGGGCTATTTTTGACAAAAGCATATATCAGAAATTTTTTTGGTTGTACTAAATACTACAGGTATTGGAGATATCCTCCCAGAAGGAATAATTACTCAAAACACTAGAAATTCATGTATTCTGATCTCCTGATCTGATTTCCAGACACAATTCAAGTAGGTGCAAGTATCTGTACCAGCTCATTATGTAAGCTCAATATAATTCCATGTGTGCTTCAAAGAATGAATGTTTGGCAAATAGATATGAACTAATTTTTATTCTAGGACCTTGAGCCTGAGAATTGCTCAGCAAACCATTTATCTGTATGGTTTTCAAGGACTTAGAACAATAGTTTCATTTTAGCCAAGATGTCTTTCTTAGGTAATTTTTACACAGAAATGTAAAAAAAGCTGTTGGAGTTTAAATATTTAATCAATTCTCATCTGTCAATATATTTTACAGATTCTTTTTTCTTTTATATCATCCTTGAGTGTCTTCTTTTTGTGACAACTTATGATTAAAAGTTGTAGAAGTTAATAGAAATTACACATAGCTCAGAAGTAGAGAAATGGGCCCTGCTGTCTGTGACCTCGTTCCCATAAGTTTGTGAGCTTTATCCCCAGTTCCTTTGCTGGAGACCATCACCTCCTGAGCAGTTAAATGTCTGCAGTAAGCATCTTTAATGCACTGAACAGATGTGTGTAATAACCACTTAATGTTTTGCTAGGTTTTGCAATGGAACAGGTATGGTTGCTGCTCCTGCTGACGATTAAAGTGCTTTCAGTGACTGCTCAGTTCAATGGATACAACTGTGATGCTAACCTCCATAGCAGGTTTCCTGGTAAGTGTTTAATAGACTTTTTTCTAATGGCGTCTTTATTGTCTTGGTTCAAAGCAGTGCTTATTTTTAAATACAGAGCTTTAAATCTGTCTGAAGCCTGGGGGTAGGACTACGTGTTAAGTGAGTGTTGACTATCTCAGTGACAATGAACTTCTCTAATATTGCACTTTACTTTCTTCTAATTACACAGTGGGCAAAATTTAGTGCCTCACTTCAACATTAAGTGCTTGGTTAGGGACAGGTGAAGCAATGGGATATGTCTACCTATGATGTATGCTCTTGCCTCTAAGTAAATGGAAATTAAGTAATTTTTTTGGATATTGGATGTTCAGAGCTGTTAATACAATGAGAAATAGAAATGAAATGTCAGTCTTAGTGACATGTGTATCAGGGTTTATTCAGCTAAAGCATCCTTTTAGTCTCTATTACATTGCTTATCCTTCCTGCTTCAAGTTGTGTTTTGGGCAGAATAATAATAGTAATAAAATGGCTGTGAATGCTGGAATACTGTCTCTATCACATCTTGTTTTTCTGAGATAGCAATTGAATTGAATAGTTTAGTAATGAACTCTCAGTATAGTATTATGCTGTAATACCTTTTGTGTTGCTGCTTTCTGAATAATAGTAGTTTTGATGGTGGTGGTTTTTTTTTGTTTGTTGTTTTTTTCAGGAAGGGTCAGCTCTTTTATTAAACTTCAGTCATCAGAAAGCAGAAAGTGTTTGTTTTCCTTTTTTACCACCACACTGCTAGATGCTTTGTTGACATAAAGACCAGCAGTGGGTTTAACCTTTTTCCACTTAATCAATATGAATATGAAGAACAGAGAAATAAGACATGCAAAGAAGATCAAATATATTGTCTCCATTCCTGAGAAAATCATTGTTTAACTGAGTATTTCACAAGCTAGTTATATATTTCCCTTCTTAGCAACAAGTTTTCTAGGCTTGCCTCAGATGTGTGGGTGAATTGTACCCACCTGTCTCAGATCTACCTTTTAAGTTATTTTATGTAATTGTGGGTGTTTTTTTGTTATTATTCTGGCTTCTTGAGAGGATTACAACAGATGGAGGTACCTTTAGATTCATCTTTCTATTTTTTAAAATTTTTCTCTGGTCATTTTTTGCACCAGCCCTATGCCAACATTTATTTGCAATGCAACACCTGTGAACTGAATTCATCTCTTATTGTGGATATTTAGGGGCCTCTTGCAGTTCTGCCTCATAAAAAAGGGTCATATCAGATTCCATGTCTGCCAAATCTCAGTGACTTGGGAGAAAATCTGTTTAGATTACAAGAAAATAGACTTTTTTTTAGAGTAAATGCTAATGACTCCTCACTGCCTATAGAAACTCAGAGCAGAGTCCTACTTTTTCTTGTTTCCATCTAGGGCAGTAAAGATTCAAAAGCTGGACTTTAATCAACAGTCTTAGTGCTGATTTTGAGAGCTAGGAAAGAAAAATAATTCTGTTTATTAGTCATGCATTTGAGATGGGAGTAAAAACCAGAAAACCCATTTGTTCCCAAATTTAGAAGGTATTATATTCAATATACAGAAGGGCCTGCTAAGTAATGGGCTGGAGCTAGTGGAGCTGAGAGGCTGCTGGAACTCATTTTTCTGAGTTTAAGAACCTTAGAAGATGGGTGAGAGAATCTCTGCAGGAAAAAGGACCTCACTCTTCCTGTGCTTGCTTCCCCATATCTTGGCTCAGACTGTGGCTTTGAGGCAGCTGCCTCAGGGCCTTCAGAGTCCAAATGTAGGGAGAAAGGTGAGAGAGAGATCAAAAAGGAGAATGTTTTGGAACAAGTGTCTCCTCAGGCTGAGATAGTACCCACCGAATCTGGTTATGGGTAGGCTTTCTTCCTGTTCCTTATTTGTTCCTCACAAGGAATCTTCATCACCTTGAACAGGAATTCCAACCATGGGGCAAGAATGGTGTGCAGATACAGGAGAAACCATTGGGTTTTGAAGTTGCCTGCTCTTTTTCTTTAAATGTTGTAAGAACAGAAATTGTTTTCAGCAAAGAGGAGAAATTAAGCCTTCCTAAAGGAACCATGGAGCTCATCCATTTTTCATTTGTTTTTTCTTTTATCATACATTGCTTTGGTGAATTCTTGCATAGGAATGCTGCTGCATAAATAGGATGACAATCAGACAGGACTTCTGTTTGTATATTTGCAGGTTTGTTTTAGAGTGTAGGTAAGCAATAGTCAGCAGGAATGAATTAAAAATATCCCCGTATTTGGTAGATTGAAAATTCAGTGACTTCTTATGCCAAAAGCTAAATGTGTTCTAAAGAACACACCCCTCAGAGAGTTTACCTTGAGAAAAAGACTTTATTTCTGCATTGCAGTAAAGCATAGCTTTTAGAAGGCTTTTGGGAGATGGAGCCATAGCAGTCTGTCTTTAGCTGGGAAATGCAATTTTGATTCACGGGACTCCTGTAAGTACGTATTGAGAACTTAGAAGAAACTAAGAAATGTTGCAGCTTTTTCACTAAAATGCACTATGCATTTTAATTCAATATCAAAGCAGTGATTTGATCAAACAGGAAGTAAATACAGAGAAGCTGGTTTTGAACTATAAGTGTCTTTGCATGACTTCTCTGCTGGAAAGAGTTTTATCAATAATGTTCTGTGGCAAACTCCTGTCCTCTGAAGTTTTTTGCTGCCTGCTCTGGGGTGAGTCTTGGCAATGTGTGGAAGGGTACCAGAGCAGAAGGAGGCAGTGGAACTCCCAGCATTTGTCTCATCACCACGTGTCTGTCCTTAACTCAAGATGGTCTCTGTAGTATCTATGTACCTCCTGAGCTTTACTCTGTTTTGCTTGTGACGCATCCATGAGTACTGTTGGCTATAGGTAGCTTGGGTGATTTGAGTCAGAAAGAAATCAAGTGGTTCGCTTGTATGGAAACTCTGTGACATAGAGGTCATTGTATTTAAGCCTTCATCAGATGGGTGACGTAACCTTCAAACCGTCTATCCTCTCTTACTCAGAAAACCAGAAGATTTTAGTGCAGGAATACAAATATTTTTTTTTTTTTTTAGTTGGCTTGTTTTAACATATTTAGGAATAATATTTACCTTTCCAAATTGACAAGAAATGAGCTAGGTGTTTAGCATCTAAAGAGACATTAGATCTGTTTGTGCCTGGTTTCAGATTAATATCTGAACAAAAAATGTTTTATTTCCAGAATGGAAATTATTTCCATTTATTTCCACTCCAGAATGGACTAATTTGGCAACCATGCTTCCTTGTGAAGTAGATGGCAGAAAAGGTTCAGTCTGGAAAGGTTGTTTATCCCCCCGTATCACACAAAAAGTTGTGTTTGTACTGTATGGTCTCATTTCCCATAGTGTCAAATGATAATTTTGCAAGTGGTAATGGTAACTTAATTGGTGGAGTTAATATCCTGCTTTTTCAAAAGGCTTGAAGTGAGTTACAAATTAACTGAGTTACTTTATGTTAAATGCTGCAATTTGTTACAACCCGACTGCTTCTGTATTTGGTCCAAGAAAGCATAAATGCACACTTTGCCATTTGCCTTTTTGTACTGGTCCCTCTACCTTAGTATACTCATTAAATGGATCATAATGGTCCTCCTGTAGTGGAAAACAAGGCATGCTGCTTCTTGATCTTTGTATGTTATATTAGTGGGATTATGATCATGTACAAACCAGGAGTATTTCATGCCAAATCACTTCGACTTCTGTCTTGCCTCCAGTACCTGTCTGCCCAAATTTATACTCAGTTATTTCCTGCACTTGATTCTTTTGGCTTTAAAGCCACCACTAAAGCTGTCTAGATTAAACTGTTTGTGCTCCTGTACCATGGGGGAAGAACTAGTTCATTGTAATGGAGATTTCATTTCCTCTCTCTTGTGACAATGCAGTGAAACAATTCATTCCAGCAGTCTTAATGGTATAGTATTGACTGAAGTTGTTCTGCAATTTTTAATAGCACTTAATCTTCAGGCAGATGTAATAAATTAGTTGTTATATAAAGGAGTAATGTCTGTGTTTAACACAGTGCAGTATGTCTTTTTTTTAAAGCACTAGAGGAAAACACCAGAGCAGCATCCCAGTCATCTATGGGTAAAGAAGACGTTGCGGAAAAGCCATGTTATAACTCTAAAGCAAACCAAACTCTTGCCTGTATCCTAACATCATGTTTTTCCTTACAGCACATAACAACCTTCAGAACTTTTGAATAAAAAGTTGAATTCACCCAAGACCTTTTTTTTTACTGCTCAAAAATTGATCAATTTTAACAATTGCTGCTTTTGTGTTGTCATTATGTACAGAATGAAAGATTGCAAGATACTTTGTAGTATTGATCATCATTTAAGAGCCAACTGATTTTTCATCAAAGCTAAAGTTGATGGTTCTTAAAAAAAATCCAAACCACGAAAACCAGCAATAATAAAAATCCCAACTTGACAATGTTTGTAATAAATTGCTCTGATAAACTGTTGATTGTACTTCAAAGTCTGCAAGGCCTGAGATTGTGATCTCATACAAAGTGGACTCCAGACAACCTTAGACAAATGTAGCTAACTTTATGCCAGAGTGGGCTGGAAGGCAGAGCTTGACCTCCCAAATTTCTCAAAATCACTGGAAATTTCTTTTCCAGAAGGGAACTGTTTAATCAGACTCCAAATATGTAACCACTTGCTGTTTCCTACTCTACTGCAATGCTTCAGTTCATGAACGTGCTGCTAAAAGATTTGCGGGGGAATTTTAGAATAATGGTTTTGTTGCACGGTAGACTATATTGCTATTTTAATTTTTGTGTATTTTTCTTTAGTTAAGTTGTAGAGTCAGATCTGTTCTTCAGAATAATGCAATCCTGACCTTTATGTTCCAATATTTTGCTGTGACTGAGGTCTAAAAGTTTATTTGATTGGAAATTACAACACTAGATTAACTGCTGCAACAGTTACGTGTGATTAGTTGAAATCTTCTTACAATGTCTTTCCCTGTATTTTTCTTGCAGCTGAACGAGATATTAATGTTTTCTGTGGAGTACAGACAATTACTATGAAGATAAATTTTTGCACAGTTCTTTTCTCTGGTTATTCTGAGACAGATCTGGCACTGAATGGGAAACATGGGGATGCCCACTGCAGGGGTTTCATCAATAACAACACCTTTCCAGCAGTGGTCATTTTCATCATCAATCTGAGTACTTTGGAATCTTGTGGAAACACTTTAGTGGTAAGATATAGTCCAAGTGAAATTGTAACATGGCTATTTATGCATAGGATCCAGTGAATGTCTTTGACAGCATTGTATCTTTTATAGATACTTTGAATTACCCAGTTAGCAATATATTGCATACATCAAAGAAAAGTGGAGAAAGTTGGTAATTTATAATCTTGATTACTAATAAGAAAATGTGGTGGGACACATATTTATTCACTGATTAGAAAGTATAATTTTAATTTTTTTTTTTTTTGTGGAAAAATGAGATTTTTCCAAGGCATTTTTAAAACTCTTGCTGAACATACCTAGACTTTGCAGAAATAGAGAGTTGTACAGTTTGTGTGTATCACATTGAACAAGCAGTGACAACTTTGTATCAAAATACCTATGAATAACTTAGAAAAACGAGTGTAGAGATGTATTATTTTTAAGACTTTTATTCTATCTGGCATTCATACTTGCACTTGATCCCTGTCAGTTTTTATAACAAGCCCCCTGTTTTGTTGCTAATTGTGCCAAAAATGGGCTGAAATATTTGATATGCTCTCTGACCCCTTTGCCTTAGGCTGAATTTTCTTTTAAAATTTCAACAAAAGAACAGTTTACCAAGTTCAAGATTTTCTTTTCCCATTTTCACTGAAAAACTGTAACACCTCCATGACTTGCACTAGAATAATTTTCTAGGAAGCAACTTCTTCCTGTTCCTGTGTAGTTGGTCACATTGTAAACTCTCTGAACTTGCTATTTAATTATAATCATAAGAGCTTGATGTTTAAAAAAAACTAAACAAAACAAAAACCCCTAGGTAAATCCAAATAATTGGAGCTCCCCATGAAGTTCCCCACAAGGCTGCACAGGATAAAAAGACAAAGCAGCAGCTGTAAAACATATAACCAAAAATTCCCCCATCCTTTCTGTTTGGGCATGCTGTGCCCCAAAGAGAATAAAAGAGCGAGGAGCATCTCTTATGTTCCCTACGCTGGAGTAGTACAATCCTGTACATTTCTTGGCAGTGTTTCACAGCAAAGACCTTCAAACTAATTTTCAAAAGTAAAGGACAGACAACAGCTCAGGCAGAACTTGAGTAAAACCTGGGTCTGTCTGTGATACAGCAGACTCAACTTTTTATTTTATGGGGGTGGGGTGATAGGGAAGCTAAACAGAGCTGTACTTGGCTATACTACATCAGTGATCTAGCCTATAATTTTTAGGCAAACTAGAGATCTTAGAAAATTTGATTTTTGACATTTTTGTACCATTTAGCAAATTATTAGGTAAGCCACTGGTGAAGTGCATGGCTGCTTCTGTCTTTTAGGTGTATTTTCTGTAGATGAAGAAATCAAAAATGTCCTGTGCTACTTACTGCAAAGTGTTATAACTCATGTGCACCTCAGGATGATTCTTCCATAATGAAATACCTTTTTAAGAAACCATGTATTCTAAAGCTGTTGAAAACATCTGTTTTGCTAATACAGTTATACCAAAGAAATGCTACAGTGGAAGTCCAGTGCCATGTTAATTTGCTTTACTGAATTATGTGCCTACTGAGACAGCAAACCACCCCCCTGTTCAGATCAGTAGCTATAGACAAAGTGGGGTCAGGCTGCTACCAGAAGGAAAGTGTCCTTCAGTTTTCCTGACAGCTGCATGTTATTGCTGGCTCTGCACATTCTCTGAGCCTGAGCAAAAATAGCACGTGCCCATGGATTGAATTTAGGTTGCGTTGGCATTAAGCTTGTGTTACTTTTGAGCTCTGCAATTTCTGACAGGTTATAGTTTGTAATTTAGAAATGTATAATGTAAACAAAACCACAAAGTTCAGCTATTCGTTTTGTATCTATTTATAAAGTAAGTTGTTTTTGATATGTCAAAACCAAAGCTCAACAGTGAGGGAATATTGTTTCTGTGAATGAAATTGCTTGTGCATTTGCCTTACTATTGTATATGTAAGCTCATCTTAAGGTAATATTTTTTAACAATAATAGCAAAGTTCCTTCAGTTCTTTCCCGTAAGTCATGTGAATTCATTGGGGATGGTCAGAAAAATGTACCTACCAAAAAATACTCTTCCAGGATTCATAATTTTTTTCAAGCTTTGCTCAAGTCTGTTTTAAGAACAGGGGTATAGCTTGTGAACTGTACATGCATGATTTTAGGGAGGTGAAAAGTCGAACACATGTTATTAAACCAAATTAAGTTTTGAAGGATTTACTGAAGATATTTCTGGATAAATTATGAGCTAAAGCATACTTGCTGTCCTTAAGTATTTTTTGTTCCATGGTTAACTTTCAGATAACAGTAATCTTCTGTCTCCCTCAATAGGTATCCTCAGCTCGAGGTATCAATGCTTATGGAAATACCTCAGTGATACAGATAGGTAATGTTTCAGGCTATATTGATACGCCAGACCCACCAACAATTATCAGCTATTTGCCTGGGCTTCTGTACAAATTTAGCTGTAGCTACCCACTGGAGTACTTGGTTAACAATACCCAACTTGCTTCGTAAGTGTGCTTTTTAATTTCTATGTGCTTCATTACCATGTTCGTGTAAGCATGTATACGTGCATGCCATAGCAGTATTGTCAACATAGGAATTTTTAGGTGTGCAAGAGTAAAGGGAAAGGAAAAAGCACCAAAAGAAGAGGTGATACAAAGAAAAAGAAAATTCTGTAGCATCATTACATGAGAAAACATAGTTTATGAAAAGCTGTGGTTATTAAGAGACCCTTAGATAATGTAAAACTTCCATTAAAATTCAAATGGTCTCATGAAAAATGATAGCAGCAAAAAAAAAAAGTTCTTCATGAAATAGTTTGTAGGCATGTAAATACAGAATGCAAGAGAAAATATATGCATAAGTAAACCTTGTACATTATGAAAAGTGGGTTATTTTTTGTTACTTTGCCTCTGCTAATTATTTTTCTGATTCGTGTTTCCAGTAGCATCCATTATTTTCTGCATAGTTAAGACTGTCAGTAGTTCCACTATAAATTCCTGTTTCTGAAGTTTATAACCCAAATGCATAAATTAACTCCTTGTGATATGACTCATTGAGTTTTTTTAATGATAAAACTCACTGAAGTATGCAAACACAAAAATAAGGTATCTTTCTTCATGATGATTTTTGGTTTCTGGTTCTCTTGTAGGTCATCAGCTGCTATTTCTGTAAGAGAGAACAATGGTACATTTATCAGCACTTTGAATTTGTTGCTTTACAATGTGAGTATAAAGCACAGTAGTATGACTTGAACTGAATTAATCTCTGCACTAAGTGGGTACAAGTTGGATTAGCAGACCAAAGTATAGACTCTGCTTCATTATTTGCTATTTCCTTCTCACTCCTCCCATGAAGCAGGCCTTTCTTCCAGGCATCTTTCATTTCTGAATTCCCTTTTCCTTTTTGTTTGCATGTATCTGCTGTCTTGTGTTTATATGGTTCATCTTTGAGGTCACTTAGTCTCTTTGTCCTGTATTTATGCAGCTCCTCAATTTACAGCTCTGGTTTTCAGGGCGTAGCACCATGTCACCACTCAATTGTCCTAGTAATAACAATCATACTCTGAAGTGCATGCTTGTGTTTGAATTTATTATTTTTGTGTGTGTATGTGTAGAGGTACATTGCACTTAATCAGAAAGTACTTTGTAGTATTCTGTGAAATTATTCCAGACCTATTCCCTTAGCAATAAACGGTAGCACTTTGGCTGGGGTGTTTTTATGTTCAAGCCTCATCAGATTGTTTTGATCGTCTGTAATTGTAGTGAGGGATGTTGAATTTGTTCCAAATCTATAGCCCGCTGCATATGTTGCCTTATGGTGTGGACTTTAAAGATTTTAAGGTTTATTAATTATAACAGTTTTCATCCAGCACTTCTTACTTATATTTTAGATAATTTAACTTGAGTATGCATTTACTGTAAAAGCTTTGACCATGTAAAAATGGTTGGTGACCATAAAACATAAAAAATGCACAGACCTCTACTTAATATTAATCAATGAAATTGTATTTTTGTGTTGATTAAAATTTCTACTCATACATTTTAAATACCTGATTTAAATATCAATTTTTCAATCTATCAAGCATCGTTTTTGTAAATTATGAATCTGATTTTTTTTGCATTATTATTCATGCCATCATGCTGCTGAGTTATAATTCATGCAACTGATTTAAAAGTCAATGCTTTATGCTTTGAACATAATGAGCTATAAATATTGCAACAGGACATTTTTCAACGGCATGCTTTAAAAAAATTATGTTTGTTTGAAAGTGCAGAGCTCCAAAGAACAACCTATAATCTGTTAAAATGAAGATTATACTTCTCTCATTTTTAAATAAACCTGTGATCAAAAAGATGGGCCAGAGTGAGGGTAGGCAAATTTCTCAGTCAGGTCAAGCGTTGACCACAATGTATTTGCTGCCTTTAGGGCCCAATTCAGAAAACAGTGAAGAATAAATGTTAGTAGTGGTCATACTGAGCAGTTTTTCCTCAAATACCACATGCCAAGATGTGCTTTTATCCTCCCTACTCCAGTAAGCTTTTGAATTGACCATAAACAGGGGTGTCTTACCTTTCTGATTTCAGTCATATGACTCACCCCAGTGAGTAGCACTGTCATGAATAATACTGCTAAGGCTGGCAGACTCAAATGGTGGATATGCCCTTCTGCTTCACATCCTAGGGCTGGATAAATAGACGGGCAGCTTGTGCATTGCCTGCATTTTGCCCAGTTCTTTGGACACTTAATGTCTTTCACTTGGTCCCTGTTAGAAGTCCTGGTTTTGGGAGGGGCCTCAAGACTTGTGTCCACTCTTGGTATTGGTGAGGGGCTGTGTACTGAGGCATCTCTTGGCTGCAAGTAGGCATACTTTCAAACTTTAACTGTAGTGTTATTTCTGAAGATTGACTGTTAATCTTCTCAGCTCAACTCTATCTTCCCTCACAAGATGTTGTTTACATTTACCTTGTGATGTTAGTACATGTCATTGTTAGGAAAGACAAGAGGAGCCCTTATGATAGACTCAGAGTTTAACAGCAAAATGTTTAATGGGCTCTCACAGACCCTAAGTGGCTATATGTTTTTATGCCTTCTTGCAAATATCTGTCTAAATGAGTAAAAAATACTCTTTAAGAATAAAAGAACAACTATGTAATGTAATAGTAGGGTCTTGCACTCTTTAATCAATTGCAAAATGTGGCAGAGCTATGTGTTACAGAAATGTCAAATTAATTTGAAAGAAGGCAAACCTATCTGATTTCACTTGAGTGGATCTCCAAGGACTTGCTCTGTGCATACCTGAGCTGGTCTTTCCTTGCATGTGTACCTCCCATGGCCTCCAATGCTGCAGAGTTTGGATATTGGGCATGCTGTGAATTTCGATACTGTTACCTTTGAAAAGAATCACTTGAGCTTTGTACTTAAACCTTATTGTTGCTGTAAACTACTCCTTGCCATGGTCTTGCTTGCCACACGGAACCTGGTCAAAATTCTCTTTAACAAATTTTTTCATGCACATTGAGTGTTTTGACCCCTCACAAGAGGTCTCAACAGAGACCTGTGCCTGTGCTATTGGCATTAGCAACCTATTTGACATACGTGATGTTACCAGTTAAGTGCATTTTGATATGCTGATTTAACACCGGTCACACAGATCTGTTTCATGGCTTTGTTGTTAAAGTGACATTAATGGTTCAGACTTTTCAACAAGAAACTAATAAAACAGCTATATCTATGTAGTAGTATATGGGGAATTCCCAACTTTTATGTTGAATACAGCTTTCTTGAAACAGTTCTTTTGAAATACTAGAATTTAAATGAAAGTATTTGTTACTTGTAGTCTTCAATAAGCCAACTTCCATAGAAACTACATTTTGTATAACAAAATGTGTCTGTTCTCCTGGACTATAGCTTAAGATATATAAAACCTGGTGGCATTGCTATCTCCACTAGTTCACATAACCTTAACATTTCCTGGGAAAGGGTACACTGTGGCCACCCAGTTAAACTCCTCCTTCAGGAAACCACGGTAGCTGCTACATTTGCCTGTAGGCCCTGGGAGACTTATTGGAGTGTCAATGAATGGTACCTTTTCTTTAGTCACTAATCCAACCACTTCATTAAATCATAAACAAATTCTCCCAAACAGTTGCATAGAAAGAGGCCTGTCAAGTGTTTTTCATCTTCATAGACAAACTTGTAGGCAAATGCTCTGGCACTGCTTTTTCTTCCTTTACAGAGGACAAAGTGAATGATCATCCTACATAGAAAGGTCAGAAAAATCAGATAAGAGTTCAGTCTGTGGATGCAGGTGGATTGTTACAGTGGAATTTCTGTTACAGTGAGGCAATGTTTGTTTTTCAGGATTCAACATACAGCCAGCAGCTCCTTATTCCAAGTACAGGTTTACCTTTGAAAACCAAAATATATGCAGCTGTAAGAGCAACCAACCTTGATGGAAGGTACCAAAAAGAATGTTATTTCTTATCTTCCTTGCTATTCAGCTCTTAGTATTGCAAATTTTTCTGATTTAGAAGCATCTATTTTTCCTCATAGCTTTTTTGTATGTCAGAATAATGGTTGGTGTTCTATAATCACTGCCCTCCCTCAGGAGGGTATCAGGTTCTTGATGGTGAATGCATGTTTTGCTGAGGCTCTCATTATGAAAGTTTTCCTGTATTATACTTTAATTGTTATATTGGTTGTATTTAAGGAAAGACCTCTGTTTGACCAAGTGAGAAAATCCAGAGCTTTCGAAAGGGGGTTGGTTTTCAATTCTAGTCTTAAACGGCCATAGCTTATGAGAGGAGGCATACCAAGTGTGTTGTTATGGTGGTTGACTTGCATAAAGCCAAATGATATGATTTATACAATTCTGCTGATGTGCTGTGCTGTTTAATTTTTTAAGCAATGTGAAGAAACAGAATGTCATATATGACCTGTTAAATACAATAATTCAGGATCTATGTAACAGCCTACATTATCAGTTTATACGCTTTCCTGTCTGTCTTTTACTTACCTCACTCACTCTCCACCCCTGCTCTTCTCCTGCCGATTCACCTCATGTATCACTTTACTCCCTGTGCAGGTGGAATGTTTTGATGGACTACTGTTACACCACTCCATCTGGTAATCCTAACGATGATCTTCGATATGATCTTTTTTTAAGGTAGGTCCTGTATTTTGTTGTCCTTCCTTAGAAAAAAAATTACAAATCTCTCCAGTAGTGGTGCCCTAAACTGCCTGGAAAGTTTAAGCATTATTACCAGGGAGGACCAAGGGATAGGCTTATAGATAACATGTCAGAACTTAATCTTGTGTGTGAACATAAACAGAAAAGCAAATGCAAAGTCGTAAGAATTATGGAGGTAGAAAACCATATATCCAAAATAGCTCTACTAGGGATAACATAAGCACTCAAAGTGAATGGCTAAACTGGCCTTTATTTTACCAAAGGTAAATGTGGTGAATGACAGTGATATAAAACACCATAGACTCCAGACCAGGAGGGTAGTTAAGCAAATGATTAAATATAAATAGATTCTCCTGCTTCTACTTCAAGTAATAACATTTATTTGAATTGGAACTTCAAAAAAAATCTTGGCAGTATCTCAGATAAAATTTTATCTGTGACAGTTACTGGAGAGATACTGTCTTCATTTGGAGTTACCTGTCTATACTGGTTAGCATACCTGATTGCTTTTTGCTTCAAGTCTCAAGTTTCTTTGGGCACTGGAATTAAATGGTACCTTGGTTGTAGCTGTGGTGTTGCAAAACAAAGTGTGGTGCTTTTGTAGGAATGCATTTCAGCACAGGACTGTGCAGCCTGACAGGCAGATTGTGTCTGCCCATGTCGCACTGTGTTCTTTTCCAAGGAACTGTAACACTGAATTTGCTGCTTGGGTTATTCTTATCTAAAAGCTTCAAAATACTGAGAGTTGCTCATCCTAGTTTTACTCTTCTCTACAAAAAACAGCTGTGACAAGGACCCGCAGACAACGATAATTGAAAATGGCAAGAGTCAAATGGGCCGGTTTTCCTTTGAGGTGTTTCGCTTTGTGAAACACAAGAACCAGAAGATGTCAACAGTCTTCCTTCACTGTGTGACAAAGCTGTGCAGAGCAGATGACTGTCCCTTTCTTGTGCCAGTAAGTTTTAGCGGACAGAAGTTGTTGTTAATTATCTGGATATAAAATAGGCACTGGAGTTCTTCTGCATGCAAATGCCATGGAACTTTGGATGGCACAGAATGAAGGTGACTTGTAGGGGACTGAATTAAGAATGTTTTTTGTGTCTGAAGGAATGTGAAACAACTAATGAAGAATATGGAAATAAATATTCTCATCTGGAAATAAAATAATATCAGACCTGCAAAGCATAGGTTGTTGAACACATGAGAAACGACCTTTTCACCTTGTGGTCCTTAATTTTTAAAAGTAACAACTCCCAGACAGCTTTAGAGCTGATATTCTTAGAATAGCAGCAAGGTATTCATAATCACAGTGGATGAATAGAAATGCCTTATTCTAAGGCATCTAGAATTTACAGAAAATTTAAAGTTGTAGGAAGTGCTGTTATACTGACAGGGAAAATTTGTATGAGTTCATCATAGTGATGATGAACTATGAGAACATCATAGTGATGAAATCCTATGCCTCATATAGTTTATTATCACCTCCATTATAGTTTTGAAACTGCTGTTTCATTGAAGTTCATGAAGTTACGTCAATTCAAAATTGTCTGATTTTGTGAGTGTCAGGAACAACAAACACATTTTGGAAATTGAGACATTTAAATAAATATATAAACACAGAATGTTCTGTGATATCTTCAGAATGCAGCATTTCCTATTGAATGACTTCTCATTTAGAATTTTGAAGTGCTACCTGTTCAGTATACTCCTGAAATTTTGTACGTTATATTTTTTATGTTACACTTTTACATAATTCATTTTGTATTCCATTTATGTTCTGAGCTTTTTGAAGTTCTTTCACAAGAAACATGTTCTTTCACATTAAAGAAATACTCTTAGTTGAAGCATGCTTGAGTACCCAAGATGCTTAAGGTAGATGATAAGTTACAGATGTTAAAGGTGGATGCCAGGTGAGAGTGCTGGGGATTGTTTTAGTGTGTGTCTTTGCTATTCAGAACTCCAAATGTGGAAATTCTCACTTGAGAATCTTGCTAGAGTAGGGATTGTCAAGCAAAACAGATTTGTTGGGGAAAACTGTCTGTAAACATAGCTTTGGGAAATTAACTACTGAAAATTTAATATACTATAAGATGGATCTTGTGCACAACGGTGATGTAGTTTTGTAAACAAAGTGAGGCAAAATACAATGGGAAGCCAGGCATTTATAAGATACAGTTCTAGGAAATATTGCAGCTGTTTTTATTGCAAAATAATATAAAGCATATTAAGAAATAAAGTTGTAGTATTACTTATCAAAGAGTTTACATTAAAAGAGGAAGCACAAAAGGACCATAATTCTGTTCCACTCTGAATCTGTGACTGTTTTGATTGACCACTCAGATTTGCAGTAACAGAGAAAAGAGAGATGCTGGTGGGAGGACAACTTGGAGCCCTCAGAGCACATCTGGCAATGCTGTAATCTCTGCTGGCCCCATCATTACAAGGAGTGGTAGGAATGAACAATCTTTTTCTATGGACTGCAGGAATTTCAAAAACCTGGGGAAATAGCAATTTAATATAAATTTGCGGTGACTCAGAGAAAGGATGACTTCTCCATGAATTTGCTGAGTATTTTTTCCCTTCTGTTGGGGTCTTTAGTAGAAATTTTGAGCTAATATTTGTATGGCTCTCACATGCTTCCTACTCCAGTAAAATCACTGTGGGATACTGTTATACATATAAGGCCATTATAGTAAGTTCAAACTCAGTGGGTTAACTTTTTTGGTCAGATTTCACTGTAGATAATGGAATTTAAGGTACTGTGTTCAGTGTTGCAATTTAATTTGGACAGCTAATGAATATTCACTGCCACTTTCTATTCACTGTATCTTCCAGCTTCCCTCTGGGTTTTTACCTAAGTGTTGCCTGAAATTAATACATGCTATGCCTAGCCTTCGTCTATAAGAAAGAAGTAGGACAAACACATTGTAAATTTTAAACAGAGGGGGCACTGCTTTAATTTGAGGCTGAAATTCCATGATTTCCATTTTTATTGCCAAAGTTTTTAAAAGAAAAAAAAGCAGCTGTAAATGGTCTAACTGTAACCTGCAGTTTCTGAACAGAATTTGTGACTGCTGTTGACTAAATAATAAAGTATTTGAAAAAGTTTAAGAAATTACTGCTATTTACAAGTAGTTGCAGTTAAGCAACTGATTTCAGCAGTCTTGGATTTAGGAAGATGAGAGTAGGACTGAATCCAATCTAGGAAAAATAATTTAAACCCTTGGGAACAAAATCCTTCTTTTCATGCAAAGTGGTTGTACCCGCACATACAGAGAGAAGAACTGACCCTCCAGAATGGGGAACCATCTAACAAGAGACCATTTTTAGAAAAAATACACTGTCGTGAGCAAAATCTCTGCAATGAAAATGATTAATTTTTTTGCATTATACATGGTCCCAATTGAGTTGCTACTATCTGATTAGTCAAGAAAAAGTGAGAACTAACTTCAAAGTTGCATACATGAGTACTTATGGGAAATGAATGACAGATCTGCTCAGACAAACATGCATGTTAGAGTATTGCTGCCTTAGGCAAATAATGGAAACTAGATACAGCTTGTTATATGAACAACCCCTGTTAGGTAATATAGCTTATGATTCAAATGCTGTGAATGCTATTTTTACAATTAAAAAAAGAGATATTTATCATTTTCCTTTAAATATTGCTTTGCTTCAAGCGAAGTGATCTGTCCATGGGTGTTTTGTGGTCCCGAAGAAATGATAAACAATTTTATAGTTTCATGACAACTGTTGACATTGTTTAAATGAAAACATCAATAAGGCTGAAAAAGGAAAATAATTTTTTAGGTGTCTTCTGCTTGAGATATGTGGGTAAAACTTTTTAGATTAGAAATATTTATCCATCTTCATAGTATGCTTCTGGAGCATCTTTCTGCTGCTGTGACAGAAGGATAGTTTGATGTTAAGTACTCCAAAAGAAAACGGGATTCAGTTTACAACTCAACCATGAATTTCAGCAGTGGCATTGGACAAGTCCCTCAATCTGACTCGCACCTCGCTTTTCCTTCTGGAGCAGAAAGGAATTAGTTTTGCTGTCTCTTCTCATTGGGAAAATAAGCACATAAAAAACGTGAGGCTCATGTATACTATAGTTAACAAGTTAAAAGAGGGAAGATCATGAGAGAACTTGAACAAAACTATCTGGGTTTGGATGAGAAATGCCAGGGTGAAGTGCTGGCTTACTCTGGTGTGATGCTGCACTATTTTCAAAACCAACTCTGGCCCAGCTTTACCAAAGATACAGAGCCCATCAAACCTGCTGCACCCAACTCACCACAGTACATTTGCCAGTATTAGGACTGCAGTTGCATGGATGTGCAGCCCCTCACTTCCCTCCTTTAGGATGGTGCTGCATCTGCCCTGGGGCTGGGCCCTGTGCATATTGGCACCCTCAGAGGCCTCTCAAGTGAGCCAGGTCTCCCCATTACTCCAGTCACCAGTTTTTCTGGCAACAGAGCTGTTTATGAAGCTGCCTTTGTAGGAACTGAATAGAGCCACTGCAAATGAGTAATGGTCCTCCTCCTGTGTAGCTCTGAACTCATATTTCTAACATTTTGTTCTTTTCAGAGAAATGTTATTGGTTTTTTGTTAATCTAAAATAAGTCATTACAGGAGGCATGCATGGAAGAAAATATTTTAGTCTCTGTATGGAAGTAAAGCAGGTACCTACTTGTGAAGTTGAAATTATGTAGCTTTTGATGGATGTCTCAGTTAAATTTAGGAGACAGCTGCTCAAAACAAATGTATATGTGAGCTATGCTTACAAATTGTGCAACCCCCCAAAAAAATATTGACAAGAAATGTAATTCTGAAAGGGACAATGGCAAGTAAGTAAAAACTGGAGACGAAATACAAATGTTTCCCTGGATATAATGCCCCTGTATAACTGTCAAGAGAAAAATGAGCATGGGGAAAGGGCATTTTTGTAATAATTTATGGTCACTGATATATTTTTCCTTGTAGAACACCAGGTAATTTTTTTTCTATAGAGATACTTTATAATATGATTAACAGTGAAGGGATTTGTGTATAATATTGTGTTTAGAGCTGTATTTTTGTTGAGGGTCAGAATAGACTTTCCACATTTTCAATTAAGCGATTCCTGCATTAAAGTGGTGTTGGTTTGTTTTTCCACAGAATATTAAGTAGCTTCATATTGTTGTGCTGACATTAAAAATGAAGCAAAGTCGTGTAATTATTGTTATTGTCTGTATTCTAACAGAGATGCTTAAAGCTCCTAGTCAATAGGACAAGCAGAGCTGATGTACTCGTAAAATGAAATGGGGACTGTTGTCTTTTGTGTTGCAAGGGGGGAGGAGATAGGCAGAGGTATTTTAAAAATATAACATATGCCTTTTTTTTTTTTATATATAGATGAGACGCCAACCAACAATTCAGAGCTCGGTAAGTTAATCGGAATTCCAAGAAACATGAAAGAGGGTTTATGAGTGAAACAGATCTGAGGAGATGAATGGTTTTGATTGATATCTATGCAATGGAGCTTTTTCCCCTTCTTTCTGGCTTTTTTTTTTTTTTTTTTTTTTTTTCTGTGTGTGTAAGTGTGATTTAAATGAGTCAATACCAACATGCTGAAAAGAAAGCAATTGATAAGTCTGGAATTCTCAGTTTAATTTGTGTGTCCAGCTCCATCAGCATAGAAACTTCTGATCCTATGATGAAACTGAAATGAAGATCTGCTGCTATGTCATACGAGGGTGAGGGAACACTATAACCACCAGGTGCAAAATCAGACTTTACAGTAAAATTTGCTTATGCCACACAGGAGTAAAACAGGAAAATGGTTACTATAGTGCAGTCCAGCTCAGTTCACAGCTCTAAGCTAGAAAATCAGAGTTGCAGTTCCTGTTCTCCCGGCTTTTAACCACACAAAGAACCTATGGAGAAGCTTGGATAGAAATTGATGGCTAGGGCAGTGAAGCAAATAGGCTGCAAGGGAGATTAGCGCTCTAAGTTTTAGGGTGCTTCTCCTTTGGGCACTTGGAGGACTTGTTTCAGCCTGTCTGTTACTGTTCTCTGCTGGTAACAAGGAGTAGCTAATGACTAAGAAAGGATAGTCAGGGTAACCAGGTGGTACATTGGGCCATTCTACCTCATACTCCTTCATAAAAGGACTGAGTGGAACAAGGATCCTATCCTGTCCTCTGAACTCTAATATTATTTGTTCCTTTCTTTTCTCAACTTAGAACATATAAAGGCAGCTACCTTTCTTGCCTGTCACAGAAACAAAGTTCTCCCTGTAATTAATTTCTCCCTGGTGTGTTCCTACTCATGGATATAATTAAAATAATAAAAAGCAGATTTTTTATTTGCTGCACACAGTTTGCTTTGTTAATGGCTGCTACCTGTCCTTTCCATGCAATGGAAGCAGCAGCCCTCTCTATCCCAGAGCAACAGCCTTTCCTTTGCCTGTTGCTGTCCCAGAGGAGAGCATAGAGGTAGAGTGAGGTGAGATTACTACTGTAGCAGACAGAAGGCAGCACAGTGTTGAGAAGGGGAGGGAAACCTGATCAACAGTGCTGATTTTTTTTCAGGTTTGGTGAGGAGGGAGAGATCACTGATGTTGAGGGCAGGTGGCTGCTTCTGGGAGGAGCAGTCTGGTTTCTCACACAGAGGCTGTGTTGTCATTTCACCTCGCTCCCCAGCACTGGCTACGGCAAACACACGTTGGTACTTTGGCTACTACCTACTACTAAAATGCTTTTTTCGCCCTTCTGCTGGAAAAGACAATACAGGCTGGATGTGTGTAGTTTGGTATCTCAGAACTGGTCCGTGAACAGACTGTTGAACTGCAATAAGTTGTAAATATGTTACCTCTTCTACCTGAGAATTGAGAAACACATTAAGAAGCCCTCTGTGAAGGTGTACAGACAAACTTAGAGAGGTCTGCTGTCTGGTGTGAGATACGCCTGCTAAGAATTTATATACACTTTGAATTGACATGTAGTTAATGATAGTGTGGAAGAAATCCTTTAATTAACTTGATTAGGCCACAGATCCTTATACCTCTGCCTTGATAGTTCTTGGACAATGATAGTCTTGGCTTAAGTAGCACAGGTCAAGGTTGGTCACTAGCACATGAGGGATTATGCCTTAGAAGGCATATATCTTTATCCCCCAGCATGATTGATATTTAAAGAACTAATAACTCTTTTCAAAATATACTTAGATAAGCTTTATCCAAGTAGACAGATGCTCATTCTGAGCTACAGTTTTAGTTCCTCCACTGCAATTATACTGTATATAGAGTAGTCTAACAGGAAGAGAGAAGTATTTGACACTTCTGAGTGATTATAACCAGATTTTACCTCAGCAATTTTCTTCTCATTGCAGCTCATCCAAATGGACCTCCTTTCCAGATGAACTCAGTCACCAGTGCGCTGATTTCAGGCATTGTTGTCCTAGGAATATCAAGCATTTTCTTTTTTGTATGTTCTCTAACTCTTCTGCACAGGAATTGGCCCAACAGTTCAGTCCCGAGTGGCATCCGAAACCCAGTTTTCAACTGAAAGTGATGATTTATTTGCACTTTTTCTTTGGGGTTGCCTTTCTTGTCTGTGAAATATGATTCCATTAAAAAGTAATATGAAGGCAACACTCCAGTGGTATCCAGCTTCTATTCCGGTTATTATACATTTTTAGATTTGCTAGATGTTGTGTAGGTAAGTGGCAGTGATATTGGTAACAAGCCTAGAAAATGATAAGAATCTCAATTGTGTTTGCAATCAGACTGCATGGCATTATGCCCATGAGTGTGCTGACAATAGAGCTCATGTCTTCATGAGAACTTTTCCAAGTATACCATTTTTATACAAAACCTGACACATTCAGGAAAAGTCATAAGTTCATAAACACTTATTAAGATATGGATCACTTCCCTTTTGTCTTTATATTTTTCACAAATTTAAAAAAAACAAGTGCGTCTCAGGAGGAACTTGTTTTCAGCTATCTTAGCTAAAAACAACCCTAGAGGGACTCAGAACAAGGAGCTTTTACTTATTAGTAATTTGGAAATGTTTTGTTAGATATGTCTTCCATTGAATTGTGGTGGAATCATGTGAAGGACAACATTTGGCTGGTTATCTTGGAGTCAAATTGTTTAGGGCAAACTGCAGTTGGTCCCAGAGAACAACGCTGCAGCTCTTGAGGTGAAAAAAACTTTTTCCAGCAAAACCATTGAGCTGAGAATCACTGAGAGCTTTAAATCTAAAGTTCATCAGGAAGTTCATTTTGCACAGAATTACCACATGTGCAGACTTCAGTCAAATTCTAACCCAGGAAACTGCTCCAAGGGGAAGAGTGTTCCTCACCCTCCTGACTCCTTGTATAGACAAGCTAATACAAACAAGTATTGCCAAACCTTTCCTCACAGAAAATTATTTTTCAAGAACAATCTGGCAGTTGAATAAAACTCTCACTAATATCCTAATTTGTAAGGGCAAGTTTTGCCCCATGAGTTTTTCAGATCTCAGATAAGGCTTTCCTTTCTACATGTAGAGTCATCAATCGGTGCTTTAGCAGATTTCTTTAGCAGATTTTCTGCATGGGTTAGCCTTCACTGCATGGATGAGGGGGAGAGGGCAACTAGAAGGATAACAGGCTACAAGCAGTACTGTACTCTTGACTCTAGTCAATCTGATAAACATCAGACTTACCTGAAGTGAGCGTGAGTGACCAGGTGCCCTCAAACAGGAGCACAGGGCAGTGGCTTAGCTGTGTAGAATAGAGAAAAATGCTGGTACTAGAGAGGCCACTGTAGACACAACATATTAAGCTGGACTGGATAGACAGTTGGGATTTTGGTCATGCATACAGCAGTCAAATTTCATTTTTCATGTACTGTACATATTGGCCTAGAAACACCTCATTGATATTTATCATCATCCTGTGTTAACCGTGTCTGTGTTTTCACTGTTGTGACAGAGCTGGCTAATGATCAGGGCTTTTTGGCTCTCAAGACTAAAGACAAATACAGACTTGTTCTCAGTTTTCTCTGATCCTGCACATGCTGTATAAAGGCCTGTTGTTTGCAAATTCCACTGTGCTGTAGGGCGGTATCCCTAACAACCAATACTGTGCCTGTTTTCCTCCAGTCTTAATACCTCAGAAACATTTTTTGCACTTCAGGGGTTAGGTCTGATGACATGTAAAACACGATTGTTTAATAAAATTATTTTAAACATTTCAGAATGACTGCTTTGTCTGAACCGTTTTTCCTTCCCCAGTCAAATGGTCAGTTTTGTATACATTTTCAGGGGCCTCATTCTACAAAGATGAAAACTGGACATGCTGTTTAAGATGTTTTGGTAAGAGCTTTCAAGATATAGGATAAATTAATATAATCATATCTTTACCACGTTCCTTTAAAGGCCAATAAACTCTGGAGATTAACATCCCAGTCTGGGGATAAATAAATTCAGATAATCTATTTTAATCTACTCATAAAGACAACCGCAGAAATTCCATTAATGTAATTACTACTTAGTAAGGAGTAGCTTTAGCTGAAAGTTTCCAGTGATGGAGGTGGCCATTATCATTCTTAGAAAGTTGTTTCAACAATTAATTGCTGTCTTCAGTACTTTTTAAAAGACTTACTAATGTGAATATGCCCATCTTAACTTGCCAGACATTAGAAACTGTTGAGATTATATCTGCTAGACAGAGACCCTTTTTCTAAAACAAATTCTATGTAGTTTGGCTAAGACCCCAGGAAAAGAAAGTTAATGATGTTGGAAATAAAAAAAGTTGCTGATATAATATCAAACCAGTTCTATTGAATTTCTCTATATTTCTGGAAAGACAGTTTGTTACTTTTCTATAAAGAAATGTATTTTATAGTAACTAACAAAGTCTTGTTGACCAAACTTCTCGAAGCATGGATAGCCCATTTCAAAAATGCAGTTGTTACTTAGTAATGCAATATGCAAAATGTTTTTCTTTTGTTTATTAAAATTTCTGGAGTGGCTTGGTTTTGTGAAGAACCAGATAAAGTGATATTTGTGTAACTTCTCCTCACATGGAAATTGTTAGGTACCTAAGGGTGATCTTCTACTAGCTAAGTTAGTGGATAGATTGCCAAGAGTCATCTGTAGGAGTCATTACTGACTTTGCTATGGATTGTGAATGTATTTGTCTCCATCATACATTAAATGAGATAAATATCTGTTCCTCCTTGGTAAAGCAGCATGGAGAGTCCCAAGTGGAAAATGATGTCTAAAGCCAGGCTTATTCATTTGCAGATTAGACATGGGACTATTTTATGAATTTTAGGGGCGGTAAAAACTTGAGCCAGGCTACTAAAATACTTCTAGGATGGAGAGGACTGACTGAATTTATAAAACATCCTCCTCCCAGTTTGTTTGAAAGAAATGTACAGGTATTTAGGAACATGTGGAAGCCATAACTTGTGACCTCAAAAGTTTTAAGTACCAGGTTAGGCAGAAGTTGGGTGTATGTGCATTAAGGTTACTCTCTGCTTTTTGAAGGGCAGGATGTTAGGAAAGAGGGAAGGGGGAATGGATCGAAAATATAAATTGCATGTTCTTTTTTGTATGTTCTCTAACTCTTCTGCACAGGAATTGCCCATATAGTGGGCAGGGACTTCTGGCACTTGAGAGATCAAATATTAAATGGAGTAGTGAATTAAGAAGACATTTTGTACTTTGGATGAAGGACCTCAGGCCTGATACATAATGAGAATCTCTCAAGTGTTTAGTGAAACTGAATTACTAAAAGAATAGTGGCTCTGAGAATGCAACCACTTCCATTAGGGATGCCTGTTACATGTATTTTAATGCTTTTTTTGCACAATGGTCAAGTTTCTGCAGGTAAGCAGATTGTACTGAAATGTTCTCAGGTCTGTGACCCAGATTTGGGAGCAGATAGAAAAGAAACTGAGATTTTAAACTCAGTTCTAAATCCGATAGACTATAATAAACCTATAAAGAGGTGGTAACACCTCCTGGATTCCTGTCCTTGGAAGAAATAAATGGCATATCCAACTGGGGCTGTGTACACCTATGGGTTTCCCTTTCCCCATCCACGACGTAGGGGAGCCCAGCTCTAGTTCCTTCTCCGTCTGAAGAACCATTTCCGACGTCTTGTGGGACGGGGAAGGAACTAGAGCTGGGCTCCCCTACGTCGTGGATGGGGAAAGGGAAACCCATATCTGGTGCCCCGTGTGAGGAAACGAATCTTGCTGAACTCTTCTATGAAGATAGGTGGATTCCTAAAGCACAGATGCGACATCTGTGTTCCCCGGCGCCCCGAAGTCTCCCCCATCCCCCTCAATTCGCCGTAATTGGGCCACGTGGTGAGGCCACGATTGTTTGAACTCTTCTGTGAAGATAAAAGCAATCCCAAGCACAGGCTGGGGCGACGTCTGTGTCAACGGCGAACCGGGTCTAAGCGGCAAAAGATATTAGCAGGCTTGCATCACCACAAGAGAGGAGCCTGATCTGAGTATCTTCAACCTTCCTGAGGACATTCAGGTAGGAGCAGGCCCGGCATATCCCCTTTTAAGGAAACTTCGGCATACTCCCTAAACCTCGCCCCCTGTAAACCTGTAACTACAAGAAGCGTGCATGCCTCTTTAAGAGAGAAAAAGCAAGCTTAAAGAACATATGTAATTCCATCTGCAAGTCATCTAATAAGACTGCTTGCTAACCTGAAAGATAGTTACCACGCCAGCATGGCGAAAAAAGGGTTAAAGCTGCTCGAAACAGCTCCGCAGCAATCCCCCTGCGCGGCCCCGCGCCGCCCGCCGTGCCGCTCGCGCCGCCCGGCCCCGGGCCGGCCCGCCGCGCCGCGGCTCCGGGGAAGCCCCGACATCAGCCAGCCCCGCTCCTGCCTCGCTGCTGCAGCTCCCGCCGAGCCGCCCGGGGCGGACCCTGCCCCGCAACAGACCTGTCCGGACACCCGCGGTGCCGCCGCCGCCCCGCCGAGACCCCGGCGCTGCTGGCAGCCCCGGCCCCGCCGATCCCGCCTGCACCCTGCTCCTGCACACAGCAACCCCCCGTCCCGCCATGCGGCCGCAGCAGCCACCGCCGCAGCCCCTCTGGACACCGGGACTGCCTCCGAGAAACAGAAGAAAACAACCATTTGGACTCTAATGAAACTAAAATTAACAGCAATAAGTAGTTTGTTTGGTTCAGCAGTAAATTGAAAGTTGTGCCAGTGAAAAACTTGTTTCATCAATAAAACCATTTTTAAATTCTGTTTTATAGGGACACCCTCAGACACTAAGAGAATGAGGTAAATTTAAAATCCATATATCAATAAAAGACATATTCATCTTTAGGGAAAAAATAAGGTTGGGATGTAGCACTATACCTGATGAGAAACTTGTTTAAACATGTCTTAAAATGGCTCTTTGTGGTCCCTTTGCAAACACGTGTTTCTTCTTCCTAATACCCCCCACAGCAACTGTTATCTCCCATGCAGGAGTGTCCTGGGAAAGGTGTCCCGAGGTGTCCCATTGGTCCTTTGTTAAACCCCTTCCTATTGGCTGTTGACCCTTTACCTGATGGTTTTTTCTGTGTGACCCTGAACTCGTGATTGGTTCCCCTTTGACCCTCCTAAAAGCCTTATAAACCCCTTCCCAACAATAAACTCGCTCTTGCCTCCTCTCCACGCCGGTGTGCTGTCTCTGTGCCTGCCATGGAGC